GACATCTTCCTAAAAACCATCTTTAACAATTAAAGTTTTTTATATTTATATAAATTATATAAAATCTTGGACTATTTTAAAAGCTGGTTAAGAGAACTCGAGACGAATTTTCGTTGCTCTTTTCCTCTTCTTATTGGCAGAAAAATCCATGAAATACGGCATTGTTATTAACATTTAATTATTTATATATTTTTAAAATAAATTATAACCTTTGTTAATAACTGGCCGTGTCGAAAATAATTATGGAATTTATGAAAGTATTGAGAAATTAATCATTTATTAAAGGAAAGTTACGCAATTTCTGTCTCTCGTTTGTTCAACTCAAACATCCTACACTTTTGAAATTACCTCTTCCTATTGGTTAATCTTTCCAGTTTAATAACAAAAATAGCTCTGTTTTTTCTTTACTTTTTAGTGTTTTATTCCTTAATGAATGACGTAACGTCGACCAAAGAATAAAAGTGTGTAAGCGCGGAAGAGCCTCCCTCCATGGCATTTTCTAAGAAATTTCCAGCATAAATTGAATTTTTTGCCTGGTAAATTCCAACCGATTAATGTAAAAAAATCACGCGTAGATAGGGAGAAACCTTGAGTAAGAATTACGCTAGTGTAGTGGACCTTAATCGCACTTCCTGACACGCGTCCAATAAGAGTTAAGTTAATAGACGTAAACTACATCCTAACGGAATGGACTTTGCCCAGTGTGTTTTTTGAACGGGACCCCTTTGCATCTCGTTATAAAGACGTCCTTGCGCCAGCAAAGAAACGAGGTGAAGGACGACCCTGAAAATGTCACCGTAAATAACACCGCTAAGAATTGTGGGATCATCAACAAAACTCCAGCGTGTGACGTCATCGAGCCAGATCCTCTCCACGTTCGTAATTGACGGTTTTTTCCGTTTCCTTCTAAATACGCGCGATAGATTACGCCACTCTCAAAAAAACGGTCTACGACACTTTAAATTAGCAGTTTTACATCGACGAACGAGAAGAGACATGGAAGCGGGGGGGACGAAAAGGAACGGAAAAAAAGTCGACCGGTCTGGTAAGTGTCATTTCCTGGACTTTTTCTTCATCACTTCCGTTTTGAGACGGATCGACTACAGCGAAATGGACTCGAAAGAGGGGGAAAGAAAAATACACAATGCAAAAACAACAAAGCTCGTCCCTCCGAACGAGAGAATCACAAAAGCACGAACAACCTCATTAAAAATGGAACATAAACGTCACGCGCTGTAATATACAAAATCTTTCGATAGGAAAATTATTTTCTCGGGTTTCTAAGCAACCGTTTTTTATGTGTTTTTCTTCGGTCGGTGTTTAAAAAAATTTAGGAAAGAAAAAACAGCAGCCAATAGCCAACGAATCAGTCGTATTACCATTTCCGGTTTCGTAATGGTTAACCCGATTCGGTAATTCAAACTGATGAATAAGATAGCGGTTAGTGTCACGTCCGAGTCGACAAAAAACGGAACGGAGCGAAGAGAGAACCGACAGTTTGGACACAGTCACGTGACGAGGCGCGTGTGAACACTTGCCAAGGTTACATCTATCATGGCTACCGACTATTAAACGGTCGCTTCCTCCTTCCCTTCCCCGAACTACGCGCGATGGCGACATTAGATTGGCTTCATCGGCATTGGCCACACGATCGACAACACTAGTAAGACACGAGGCGTTGGACAGAGGCGACCACTTTTAAAACTCGAAATTCCCAAAGACCTCGCCTCTCGTTATTCCACTCTTCTTAAGAAAGCCGCAAACGTGTTTCTCCACCGTTCTTATTTACCACAAGCGTTGGCCTTTCGTTTACTCCCGGAAAATTTCCTAACTCGCGCCAGCAATTCCGTTACCTTTTGCTTTTTTTATCGAACGTTTGAAAAGGAAAAGTGTCATTACGGTTTTCTAGAATTCTGGTTATCGCCAGAGAGAAAGAATCTGCAACGTACACAACGACCAGCAGATACTGTCTTTTTTTATGGCTTTTCTTAATGCAGATACTTTCCCACAAAGTGAAATCGCCCGCTTTTTCCCCATTGCCAATAAGTTCCCCATTTTGAGTTTAGAAAAATGTGACTAAACTAATGAAAATTCCTAGTAATTAGCGTAACCTTCTCCCCTTCCCGCGGTTATCACTTACAAATATATTCTCTAATGATAAAACTAACATTTTTTTAACGTTACCATTTAAAAAAAACACGTTTTTGTCATTATTTTCCTATTTAATATTTGCCTAGGCCAAAACAATAATATTTGCGCGCAATAAATGTCCTAAGTCACGGTGAATCGTTAATTAGTGTTTTGTTCCCAAAATCTGAAACGCGTCGAGTTTCTGGTTTCTAAAATTAGTGATTAATTAAGTATGAAAACACGAAGCGTATATGGTCCTAGATTCTGTTAATCCTTAACCAATCGGTCTCTTCCTAGACTAATACGTCGAATTTTTTGCCAGCAAACTAGTCTTTAGTTCCGATCTCGATAGTATTAATAGCCGATATCCGCCGGTCTCCCCTTCTAAGCGCCATAAGTACCGTCTGTAATTCTAAACACTAACGAGTCTAGTTCTGACTCGTAAGTACCGATAAGACTGTTAAACCTAATTGAAATTTTTGGGTAAATAGCCACTAATTTCCAATCCTTAAACCAATAAATTATCCTTTAGTTCCGGCCAATAAACTGGTTGTAGTTGTACATTTACGGTACGAACGGGTGGTTCTAAGAACCGACGTTTACTGGTCTCTACTTCCTGAACTTGCAACTGGTCGTTTGTAGTTCCGAATCTTCGGCTTAATCAGTCATTGGTTCCAAATGTCGATCATTTTTCAACTGGTTACTTCCCAGGCTCGAAGCGCATTAAGTAGTCATTAGTTCCAAAGCCATAAAAGAGTAAATTAGTCTTTTGTAAACAAACTGGTCTGTCGTTGTAAATGCCGACATTTTTCCAAGGAAAGTAAAAGACCAAAGTTTTGAAAGAGCGCCTAGACAATAAAAAAAGATGTGGTCGTAATTTCGTTAAATTCTTTCAAAATCGTCGATAGGAAAAATACTCGAGTAACTGCAACGTCACGCTTTGACGTCAATGCAGAAAATGCTTTAACACTACGTCTGTGTAGAGTGGAACACAACTGGAAACCCATCTAAGACACGTTTCTCAAGGTTTCAACTCCGAGCTGGAAAGGAACGAAACTTGCTCCGAGTAACTATAAACCTCGGGACGAAATCGCATCCCCCGGCCGTAATTTTATTAAATTTTTACCTGGCAAACTTATTATTTTAAATATTTAAAATTTTTGATTATTAAATTTTGCTTATAAAACGTCTGCGTAAATATAAATATGGACTTCGCTCTTCGGCATGCGCCGATTTGACACGGGTTCAATGTCTACCTAGCTGTACGCCATTCATTCAACTCGCACGTGCGCGCGCGTTATATAAGATATAAGCTTATAAACTCGTTTTTTACGTATTAAAATTGTAAATTTACTCTAATAATTTATAATGTCCAATGGAGTTTCCTTTTAGCTTGGCTTTTTATTAAGACGGGAAGGTTATTTATTAACTTTATTACGTCGTTGTCGATTGTCAAACAAAAAGTCACGCTTTAAACGCGTGGATACGATTCCCGACAACGAACGTCACCGGTAAGACCCGGCGTACGCGATTATCTGTGTAGACCAGGCGGGAAGGGCCTTCAAAAAATCTTATTATTTATGTAAAGACTGCCGTTTTGGCGTAGGAAAATCAAAAATAAGTTTATAAATCCAGAACTGCCACATCCGAAACTTTGACCTTTATTAATTACTACTTAAAAGTGGCGTACGAAATCCAAAAGTATGGCAAATCATTACGAAAAAAAGGGAGAATTGTAAATGAAATTCGACACTAATTTATGAGGGAAAGTGGATTTCAAATATGGATCAAAGAGGCATTTTTAGAAAGTGATGAGAAAAAGTTGGTTTAAGTGTTTTTAGAATAAGGAGGGAATGCGCTGGAAAACTATTTGGCACATTTTATGTAAAGTTAATTAAGTGAGCTTTATCTGAATGTTGCGCAGCTTCCATAATGGAATTCCCGAAAGATAAGATAACTTGTATATTCCTGAAGCTGGCATTGTCAAGCGTTAGATAGTATCGGTAAATATCGATGATAACTCTTAACTGGACGTCGAGGCGAGTAAACCCGTGAAAAAGTAAGAAAAATTGTTAAATTGTACTACTTCCTCTTTAAGTTTAACGTCTTAATCAATAGCAAAGTATTCGTTCGTGACTGCTAAAACTTTTTCTCATTACTTAGATGCTGGCCAGTTGACACTTTGGAGAAGCCGACCAAGAATCCTGATCTTCCTGTTCGGCAGGAAGTTAGCATTGTCATTTTTGAGCCAGTTTGCGCTCTCCCGTCTATAAGTATACAAGTTTAGGCTATCCGGTTCCTTTCAAATATGCCATTTGACAACGTATCTCGTCATTTCCTACCCGTGAAATGTTTTTAAACTCGTTTAAATTACATATATTAGGCAGCAGAATTGAAGCGTGCCACGAGTAATTTTGGTTCCTTCTAAAGATCTTCCAGCTTACTTTTGCCCAAAAAATCCAGTTCATTTTATCATATTTTATAAAAAACGACATTCTCAACCGAATTTTGATTAGTTTTTTAAAGAATTTTAACACCTAACTAACTATAAACGTATAGAAAGTTTTGACATTTGACACTTGGCTGCCGCGTGTCCGACTCGTATTCTCATTTCATGCTAATTTAAACACGTAAATTTTACAATAGAAACGAAGGTTGTCTAGTCATTTGGCAAAGAGCCAATCCTAAAATCCGAAACTGGCAAAAAGTAAAAATAAAAACAAGTGGTTGTCGGTATCGAGACTCACGCAATATAAACATAACGAAAACTGCCCTTATAAAAGATACAAATACAAATGTTTATACGGGAAACGAGCCTTAGCTAAATGACTGTTGTCTTCGATTTCGCTTACGACAATATAACTGCTTACCTGTATAAAACGCTGGTGTATTTTGCTCTACACCTTTGTTTATCCTTCCCGCTCCGCAATACTCTTGTGCAGAGATTAGCCTAAACCCTTTGCTTACAGTGTTTCTCTCGCCCGCATTTTGCTTACGAGGAGGGAGCGTGCGATGCGTAGTACCCAACTTTACAAAGACCGCAGTTCCTTCAACCGGACACATTAAGTTACGCAACGACGACTTTTCCTGACACGTCGATTGTAGTTTGCAAACAAGCCGAAGAACACGAACGTAGTCCAAGTCAACCGTAACCATCCCGACTTCGTACTATCTAATTATTTAAGTGTACAACGAGAATAGGCGTTTAAACAAGTCTACAACAAAGACGAGTTACGAAAACCTAGTGACGTGATCGCATTAAATTATCCTACGCCATCTTAGACGCAACGACCGACTCCAGTCTTAAGATTTTTAATTATATAAACGCTCGGTTAGCTTACTGGATTTTAGTGACGTGTCTCAGATATTGGTAAGCGTATTTCAAACATGTCGACAGATCTTTGCGGCTCAACTTTCGAGACGACCACGCCCAAATATGAAATTCCGTCGTACCACGCCCTTAAACGATGAGCTACAGATCTTCGCCTCCCCCTCTCCACGTCCCTTTTTTTCACTCCATAACTGTATAATCTCTATGACGATCGATACATTGAAATTGTTTATGAATATGTAGGGCATCTTATCTGGTGTTGGCCAAGCAGTACCGAATGAACTCTACCTTGGGCACTAGCGGCAAACCTACGTTAAAAATTCAATTTTATACGTGTTCTGTTATATTAAAAACATATTTAATGTAGAGGTTGTCAAGGAAGACATTTCTAGGTCTTCCTTGACGTTTCACGTGTCGGAAGGGGTTAAAGCGTTAAATTCTGAGCAAGCCGAAACACCCGATCTTAATTAACCAAGCAAAATATACGAGATGACAAGAAGAACGTTGCCGGTTTACTGACAAACAAGGAAGAAAAGAGACGAGGGAGTATCACTTTGGCAGAAATCAGTAGTCCTTCTTGTAAGACATGTCGCCTCGTTTATTCTTTTTATCGGTAATCCCAGCCTGTATCCCGGTGATGTTCTCGCCGAACTCCTCCAAGACAAGCTGACCAAGCGGATAATACACCGCAAAGTGACAAGTGAGCAACCGTTCTTTATGTAAGACACTTTTAAGTGACTAAAAATGGCTGCACTTTATCTTCGACACAAAAGTTTTCGACTCGAGTAAATTGTACTTTTCTCTCTCTCTTTTTTACTTTGAAAAACAAGAGAAGAGTCTACTTTTCCAACAACCGATTGTGTTTTTTTTTCTTAGCCTCCATCAGTTCCTTAACTCTTAAAAAGCGCAATAAATCGGGTTCAATATCTACACCCTTACAAAGTGAGAATATTAAGAAGATAAGTATTCAATTTTCTCCCTCTTGTCGACGTAATATAGGTCTACGCGATCCCACCTGTGACCGTCTGGTTTTTGACCCGCCATCTTTAACTAGTTCAAGTGGCGTGTGTGGGAAAACCACACCTGTTTATATAGCTGCAGGCAAAAATAGAGAGAGAGAAGGAAAAAAACGTATTTCGGTAGGAGACAATGGACAAAAATATTCTGTCTTTTCCGTAAGTGACATTCAGATTAACGGATATTTAAATGGAAAGTTGTGGTAGGAGAGTGGCGAGGGGGCGGAAAATGATTGTCATGTTTTTTAATTGGACGTTTCGCCTTTCTACCTAGCGTATCCCGCTGTTTTCCTTTGTTTCTCTTCTGTCGAGGGGGTTTATCCTACAGTTTTCTACTCCCGTCACGTTTGCGAAACCCTCGCAGACAATGCGCGAGACGTGGTTAAATGATTTAGCATTTATATATGTTTTCGTGTGACGAAATAACGTATTCCTCCTCCTCCTTTCGCTCACCCTCGATATTCCCAATTAGAAACGAATTTATCGTTGGGCTCGACGTTTAAAACCCACGTTACGTAACGTCCGAACGTAACGTTCGACACCTGTACTAAACCGCGTCGTCATGGCAACTAGCGGGCGATGACCCCTTCCTCGACTTTACTTTCGTCTCATCGACTCTAAAATTCGGCCCTCTTTTTTCTTCTTAATGCAAAAGTTGAGGTTTCGAAAAAATCCAAAGGATTATTTTGGTGAGGAAAAAATGCAGCATCCGAGTTAAAGGAAAAATTGCCATCGACGATACTAATCCAGTTATTTATCGATGTTTATAGAATAAAAAGTCGAGCGTGACGGGTTGCACTTCCTCTCCACGCATAGGCAATCTAATAAATATCATCTACATACACGTTCTTTAATTGCTAGTAAAATCGGTCTTGATTGCTCTCCCTCGTAAACCCAGCTTCCAATAATTCGTCCAGCCATCACCCTCGTGTCAACAATGCCACCGATCTTGCGGTTTGCCAACGCTTTATAAATACTGTAGTCCCCCAACGCCATAGATCTGTCCATCGAGGTTTAAATCACGGTACATGCAAATTAGACAATAATTAGTGGCTGTAACCCTTTGTCGTAGGAGCCCTAGGGGTCGAGAACAGCTGCTGCAAGGACCCAGGTGCAACAAAGGTAATCTTTAGACAGTTTTCGTCTCCCTGGCAGCAGCTGCCACGAGCCCACTTTCTTTAGTTTGCAATTAGTCGTAGTTTAATTGATGCCCGTGTCTTTTTCCAGCCCGCGCCTTATCTGCGCTGTGGCAGGAGAGTTTTTCTTATCTGCAAAGCGAGATACAGTGCGAAGGACCGAGTAGGGACGCATCCTTTATCTTTTCAAGGATGAATACTGTTTCGTAATCGTTGTCGATAAGCAATTTATACGGGAAAGTAAATAAAGGAAAGCAGAAATTGACCACACGAAACACTTTTGGAGTAAAGTGGAAGATCGATATTTGCGAAATTCGATTAGTACGCCTATTGCTTATTATAGTATATGGTAGAACATAGAAGCTAATCAGAATTTAATGAGAGATTAGAATCCCTCGTCCATTCTAGAAATTAACCTCTGAAGATCCTCCAACCGTCACGCGAATTGAAGGATTCTCCAAGCGTGCAAACGGCAACGTCACGCTAAAAATTTGATCAGCAATCTATATTTACACTTAATGCTAAATTTTATATGAATAATTTAAGTTTAATTAACGTTACTAAGCTATTACGATCAATTTCTAAGGCCTTACAATAGTAGAAAGCCCATGGAAAATCTACGAAACCCTATTGTGTCGGTCGTTTATTAAGGATCTAATCGGTTGTACACACGCATTGGAGTGCCGTACACCCACTTAACTGTACGTTGCATATAATTAATTCAAATTCGCGCCACTAAACTTAGAAAAGAATTTGTAGATGGAGGGCAGTTCTTAAGTTATTCATAAATGCTACCGACGTAACGATTTCTGTTCGTGTAAAGATTGCGGTACTCGATCGATCGGTAGACAACACGGTACTCCGGGCTGATCGGTACACGTCTGCGGAGAAGAATTTACCGACACCCAAAAACACGTAATTTGCGCGTCGGGGGTCGAGACGAAGGTTTCAGTTTGCACCCCGTCCATGGCTGTATTTTTTACATTTTCATCTCCCGTAGGAATAATTTGACAATTATACCCGTAATACGGACGGTGTCGCGCCTTTAAGGGGACGAAATTCGTACTTGGTCACACGTAACGAACGAACAGCTGTGTCCGGATGGAGGGAATCGTTTGCCAAGACGTCTGACGGATTATTTTGGCAGGCAAATTTGCCATTCCTACAAACTTGGACGGGGGAAAGGAAGGTGAATTCTGTCGGATCGTTCGTCCTTGCTCCCAATTTGTACCACTTGGCGCCACCATTCGATTCTATTCTCTGCTAGGCGACTTCGAACCGGGAAACATGGAATTCCTGCCACTGACGATCCATCCAATTCCTTCGAAGATTATTCCCCCCTTTTTAGACTTTTTAACAAACTTAAATCTCCGGTTTACCATCATTTCGATAAGGACGAGATCAGAAAGAGAAAAGCTCGATCCTACTCGCTTTCCTTTCCCTTTTAAACACTCAGAAATACAGCGATTTAAAGGGTTCCTAAATCCGATAAGGATTTTCCAAACGTTTATCTCTTCTTCCTCCTCCTCTCTCTACCGAATTCAACTTCCCTCGTCGACGGAAAAAAACACAGAAAATCTCCAGATTTGACAAATATCGAAAGTTTCTTTTTTAGCAAAAGTACTTTTACTTTTTGCACCAGAAAAGTTTAAAATCAGACAGAAAATCACACGTTTTTAAGGCCGGGGTGTAAATTAATGGAAAGAACAATGGAAAAACTCGAGACACGAGATGATTTAGAAACACGGTTGAGAATTGAGGGCTAACACGTGAAGGGATCGAGCAACGACGGGGTTAATTACAAAGGTAAAGAATAGGGGGAAATACTATAAAACGTGGGGACTAAAGAGAGCGGCGATACACGAAGTTAAAGACTAGTGAAATTAAGAGATTGAAGACGGCGTGGAAATGGACTGAGGCCATTTAGATCGAAAGAGTGGGCCAAGTAATCAAAAGTGAAATTAAATTTTGCCCGAGCGACAAAAGAACCAAGGCATTATCGAGCGCATAAAACGGCTGGGAATTTTACAAAAGTCTCATCCCTCTATAATAAATATTATTAGTATTTTTTGAAACAATGGAGTAATAACGAGTCGTAGCAGATCTAACCTTGAGTGATTATCTTATCGGGGGAAACAATAGAGATAAGAGTAAAAACAACTGTCGACTCGCACTTTTAATTGAGTTTAAAAAAGGCCCCGCTCTTCCGCATCACTTTTCCTACACAGTGGATGCAGGAGCGTTAAGTAATTTTTCAGGACGCATGTTCGAACAAAAACGAGGCTCTGACCCCATTCTATCCCTCGTGCGGAAATCGGTGACGTTAGAAAGCACGTGAGGATGCCAGCGGAAGGTCATTGCCTCGCTTTCGCTTCTACTTCCGCGATTATGGATCGACGGACTTTTATAAACCCTACCAGCGCAAATTTACTATTCTCCATTAGGAGTGTACGAGTGGGCAATAAAAAACATATCTAACTGTTTGAGATTCGATGGGAGTCGAGATAAAATTCCATTTATCACGGATGTGGAGGTCCAAGTGAAGAAAGTCTCGAGTCGGTATTGAATAGAGAAGCCGCGCTGCATCGCCATATTAAATGATGGATGACCCAACGTCCTTCCAACGACCTACCAACAATACGCTCTTAACCTATTCAAATCGCAGAATAATTGCAGCGGATGTTTTTAAATTCGAAACTTTTATCCTTATTATTCATCTTTGGCGGGAGAAGGGATATTCCGTATCGAAAACTTACACACGTACTACACAAACGGAAGGCCATTACGTAACCCAATGCTCTTCCTATACAGGAAAACGTAGTAAAAAGTAACCGAGATACGTACGGGGACGGTAGGATAAACCTTTTTCCTACTCGTAGGCCAAAGGAAAAGCCAGCTTCCCGCAATTGCGGCTGGAAAAATAGGCGTTTTTTGGATCAACGACGATGTCCGATGCCTGTTTAGCCCGAGCCAGGCGGGATCCCCAGGCAGTATGACCTTGAGCCTGACGGCCTTGTCTTTCCGTCCCGCAACCGGTTTCACAAATGGAATCGCTGGAAGATGAAAGCGCCGATGACGCAACCGGGACCAACTTTTCGCTCCTATTTCCGTCAACGAAAGGCTTGCCAAAACCCCATTCTACGTAAATGTAAATTACTTCGGTTTCGGGGCATTAAACTCGCTTTCGTTAAAGAATAATGAAAAAAATGGCCACCCTTTCTCCCAACTCTCGTCCCTTTTACCGCTACTCGGGGATCGATTTCGACCAGGATGCACGTGCCCAATTTTATGTTCAATGACACAATACTCGACTCGACGTCACGAACACGCGGCACGCACGCTCTAACCGAACCTAACCCGGAACGACGAAAACTTTCCCGGTCGAATCCCGCCGGTATTTCGAACCCGGGTGGGTGGGAGGGTGATCGATAATGGACGCTCTGTTTTAGCGCCAGGTGTCACCACTATCCAAACGTCATCGACTAATCCAGGTGGCGTCGTCCGTCGTAATCGATGGAACGACAGATGTCGGGGGCAAACTTCGTGACGTCACGTTAAGATTCCATCTGGACGTACGATAATCGTTCCGTTTCGCGTGGCATCCCAAAAGGCCAACCACCATTCTACACCACGTTATATATTATTTATTTTTTTATCGGGAGAAAGAATGCGGAGTTTTTAAGCGGCTTCCTTTAAAGTAAACCCGCCGAACGGGTTATCTGTCGAGATTCAAAAAAAAAAAAAAAATAGCAAACGTCAGCGATGCCCCGAGGTACCAATCCCTTTAAGGGAATAAGGTAGTAAGTACCTGGATATCGGACGCGTGGGGACATTCCATCTTTCACACGGGATATCAGGTCATTTTAATAATCGTTCCAACACGTGTTTCGGAATACAGATTTGCAAATGACGTTATGCTGGTACATAACCTATTTAGCACTTTCCATGTCACCGATTCGGAATAGAACACCCTCAAACCACATATACCGAGGTATTTAACAATGGAAATATTCATAAATATTCAAATATTTCCTCTCGATACCATTCTGGGGGTGTTACGTAAAGATACGCAATTAAGTAATTTTCTCACCAGGGTGCCGTAGGGGGCCGAGAAACCAAGGTTCTTGTTATACCGAATGCCTGCCTACCGTCACCCTAATTTAAGAGATGACAGGTAGAACCTATAGGCCTTATTAGGTCGAGGCGCATTTGGCCTATCTCCACGGTTATAAAGCACATAATCCACTTGTGTCGTACCCAATTGGTTTTTGCTCTTCCTAAAAACAAATATTGAGTTTCTGTTTTGTGGCAACATTCCAAAAACTTTAATTTGTTGAGTGCCACTTCTGAATTTTCCCCCTTGCAATCCGCAACTCAGCCTATATCGGCAGATTAAATGGCAATTTCCAATGCTTTAAACCCGAGTAATATATCAGATAATCCCGTTTAAAGCGCCACACGCTGACAATGTTTTTAAAGCCATTCTTTTGTCCTTTTCGGCTTAAAGTAATTAAGAAAAATTGACTGAACGACGACTCCAAGTAGTTCGAGTGAAATGTAAAGTAAATAGTGGGGGGAAGAATGAGAAAAAAGGGGGAAAAGCATTGATTTCGTTTCGATTGGGCAAAAATTCTAGTTGCCAAGCGACCGTCACCTTGGATACCGACCAGTACGAGACAAACATATAAAACTAGACCCCTCTTTTTTTCTAATGATCTCGTTTCTAAAATGCTTTCGTGTGTCAAAGCCTGAAATTTGTGCAGAAATCGTTTGTGTGACTCGGATTTCTTTTTTTATCCGCTTACTAAATCGAGTCGAATGTCCGCCATTTCTTTTGTTTTTATATCCAGTGGGAAACTCTTTTCTGCAAGAACCGAAAGGCTAAGACGATCGACCGTCGCTGATTGGACACGTTGACGTTTCTAAATCGGTTCGAGCGCAGATGTTATGTTTACTCCAGTCACGAAAAGGCACGTGTTCACACGCTCACTACACTAAGACACAGCTGTTTGGTCGCCGCGCATCCCCCCTCTTAAATTTATTTAGGTTACAATGCTTTCGTAATTTTCCTTCTCCCTGCCGTAAGTTTTAGTCCTAGAAGGTGTTTGGGTAGAACCAACGCTTTGGCGCTCTTTTCTTTCAGGGTCGCCTAGTTCCTTCGGGGCTCGATCGAACCGGGGATTAACCCGGAAGTAAGGGCGTTTCCCTGGCTTAACGTTTGTTACCCCGTACGAATGACCAAGAGATTCTGTATCGAGCCGGTCGAGTTCGGGTTAGCCTCCTATCTCTGATAGATCACCTGTCTGGCGAATTCCCCATCCTCGCCAAACACACCTGTCCATTGTGTGTTTCCACATCGGTTTCCGCCATGTTGTATTTTCTGAATTTGCCTCCTATCCGTTGGCGTCTATCGAGGAATGGATCGATGCC